ACACACACACACACACAAACACACACCTCAATCCCTCGGTGAATCTGTGTGAACCCTCTCGTCCAAACCCACAATCAACTCTTTCTCTCTTGTCTACTGGATTTCTTATGCTCTTTAACCTGTTAGATGTCTCCCTGTTTTGCCACCTCTCGTGCTGCTCTGCATTGCTCTGCTTGGCTTCTATACTGTCTGGTCGTTGCTTTGTGAAAGAGACTCGCCGTAATCCACTAACACTGTGTGTCTCCTGAAGAGGGGAAGCCTACAGGGCTGGGCTGGGCTGGGGGTGGATGGATCAAACTGGGCGGGTTGTCGAGGGGCAAGAAAGAGTCCCGAGAGGAGAATGAAATTAGTTGTTTTTTTTACACGAATATACAAACATGCACCGTTCACACATTCACACACTTGGATTTGTTCTGATCCGCTGGACGCTTTGCGTGATGCCTTCCTACTCGATGCGTAGGTGTGTATCACCGTTGACGTGGAAACAATGTTGCCACGTCTTTGCACATACAAAAAGGACAATTGAGAAAAACAAATGATCAGAGACATCAGTTCTTCTGCTGAAGAGCAGAAGTGAAACACAAGCTCCCTTTCATCGGTGAGGAAGTACATTCAGATTACATTGCCAGAGTGAAACCAACTGGATTATGACGCTGATCCCAATATCAATATTTGGGAGTTAAAAAAATGACATGACAAAAAGTGTTTACCTCAAATGCATAATATAAACGAACAAAATTTGGTCATTAACGAACCGTGACCAATACTGAGCCTTTTACAGTTGAACTTGTCGGTGCTCTCTGGTGGTCAAATGGAGACACTGTTTCTAAATGAACTCACACTTATCTTTGGATTTCTTGCCACTAACTGGTCGACATTGTGCCGATACCAGTAAATCTGTGTTGAGCTGATATTGGCCGGAGATATCGGCCCTCTGGTTCTGGTTCTTAAATCTGTGCACAGCAACAGGATGTCAGTGTGTGATGACACTCACACTCATTCCACCGTCTTACACTTCAGCAGTCAGTCATCTCACTTGTCCCGTTTACTGTGTTGCTTTCCTGTTTTGTTATAAGGGATAAAAGTACGGCTGAAATGATTAATCGATTAGTCAATCAACTCAAAAGCCAATACATTTTCATTATTCATCAAGTCATTTTTAAGCAAACGTTCACTGGTTTTCAGATGTGAATATTTGCTGTTTGTCTTAGTAATCTATGAATTTATAATATATACATTTTGATTTTATTAGTCAAACAAAACAAGAAATTTGAATATGCCAACTTGGGCTTTTTTTAAAATTAAAATAAAAAAAATAGAGTTTTTGACCAAATGATTAATCAAGAAAAGAATGAACAGATTATTTAATAAAGAAAATAACCTTTAGTTGAAGATCTAGATAAACGATTAAGGTAAGTTGTAACTGATGCTTCTGTTGAAAATAAGATTGACTAACTAAAGGAATACAGAATGATGCTTTTTAAACCAGCACACTAACTATGCTGAGGTTACCCGGAGAGCAGAGGGAGTGTGTGGTTGGTGATCCTGTTGAGTGACTTTGGTTCCACGATTGGCCTCGGTACGACGGCGCAGATGTGCACAACTGGCACACCCACATACGTAAACCTTTAAAAAAATCAATCACTCAATCCACTTGTTTTCATGTTTTGAATGTGTTTGTTTCACAGCTGACCACAGAAAACAATACAGGGTCATTGTGTTTATGAGAGTGATGCCACTGAGGCAAACTGTGTGTGATTCTCACAGCGCCTCTCATGAGCAGCAGCAGCTAGCATGCTGGCCTCCCCTTTCAGATGGCAGACTGTTGACTTGTTGTAGTTACAAAGCACAGGTGTTACATTAACAATGGCTCTGTGCTATTCAAGTGATAAATATTTGGTGATAAACCAAAAAGCTGCAATAAAGTATTAATTAGAATCTTTGACCTGATGACAGTGCTAGACAAATAAGTGATGTGATTACAGAAGTGACGTGATGGTGACGTGAATGTGTCAACCAAATGGCTGCTGAGACATTTCACTCATAACCAAAGAGAAAAAGTCAGAGGATCACCAAAGCATCATGGGTATCTGGCAATCCATCTGTTGACATAATTCAGTCTGAACCAAAGTGGTCGCCCTAAAGGCGGATATTCGGTTGTAATACTTGACTTACAACAGAAATGCGTGTGTGGTTTCTTTATGTGCTGGGCTTCTCTTTTCCCCCTCAGGATCTGGGGATATCGAAAGTGGGTCATATGAAGAGAATTCTCCAGGGAACTAAAGACCTGGCCAAGGCCTCTATGGTTGACCTCTAACCCGGGAGCAGACGCAACCGGAGAGGGGAAACGAACATTCCCCTCACATCAGTGGAAGAGTTTTGGCAACACCGTAGGCAGCGGAGGTGAAGATAGGTATTCGAGGAGAGCTGGATTTGTATCCCTCTGCTGAGAAAGCCTTTGTGATGTTGTTAACATGATAACATTGGTGTGTTTGTTTGTGCTTTGGTGCCAAAATGACAGTCGAGAAAGCAGATTGAAATGCAAAAGGACTTTACGGATCTTCACAAAATAAAACAACAACAACAAAAAAAGCCATTTCTAAGTTAATAACCATTCATAGCGCACAATCAGGTATGCAACTAACCATACGGTTGACTTGTTGTTTGAGTTGTGATAGCAAACTAGTAGCAAAACCAGGACTTCCATGAGCGTGGGATTTCGCTTCAGTTCGGTGTGTAACCGTGATGTTTGCTGGACGTCCCAGAGCTGCAGATGCACCAAAGCAGCCTCCGGGTTTCAGGAGCACTGCTGCAGATAAAGGTGTAACATCACAGTCTAGCCGGTAATCTGGAAGGTGTGGTGTCTGAAAACAGTGGGATACTGTCGCATGCTATGCTTGCTCGTCTTTAGATATGTTTAATTGCATGATTAGTGTCTTGATTTTTATTTCTTTTCGTGTGCAAAATAAGACTTGAACAAGTTTTACATGACTTAAGTATTACGATGCCATTTGTTACTACTGAAAGCATCCTTTTTTGGTCTAAATCCAACTCTTTTTTTTCTAGCTTTAATTTATTTTGTTTGCATGATAATGATGTGTCAAAGATTTGTGTCAAGTGCCATATTTTCAGTCATTTAGTGTAAAATGTGCTTTATTGGTAGAAGTCATAAGAAGTTCGTTTTTTTCTTCTTTTTTTAAAGCTGTTGATGAAGTTATGAATATTTGGAATTAATATTTGTAAGTTGACACGTTCTCTGTGGATGTGAAATCAGTACCAAAGTGAATGTCTAAGAAAACGTTGATGACTTTGTTCAGGTCGCACCTCTTAAATTGAATAGGCCAGTAGGTCTTAGTTCTTAGTTCCTTTGAAGGTTGGAAGGAGATTCGTGTTGATCTGAAGCCAACCACATAAACTGGAGGGTTGCTGAGTTTTTTTAAGGAACACTTAAAAGGCACTTTCTACTTCTTGCTTCATGCAAGTGCAAATACTCATATCATTACATAGAAGTAACGGTTCACCTCAACTTTTTAAACTTTTGGCAATTTAACACAGTATTTAACACTAATGAGAATAGCAGTTAGATATGGGTTTTGAATATGTAATAGAGCAGTTGATCTGCAGCCTGCATAGCATCGTTCAAGTGCAGCTTTCTTTTTTGTTGTTTTCTTCAAATTACAAGTGAGACGTTAGATAGAACACTACTTTTACTTGTTAGTTTCTTTTAAGACTGGTGGCATTACAGGGTATATTTCTATATGCTAAGTTTGTATATACATATATGCACTGTATATATACTGGTGTATGCAAACCATGTTTGTACGTGTTGTAGTCTAATGCATTTGTAGATTGCTGACATGGCATGCATTGTCAACAGCTTACACATTTGATTGTGTATATTACACCATAACAATTGTGTATTGTTGATTTGTCCTAATCTCTTGTACATGATAATGCTGTTGTATTCTAATGATGGTGCAATATTTTATCTCTTGTTTTGATACTGTCTCTGCAGCTTTCTGACATGATGTTTATCAGTGGGGGGGGGAGGGGGGACAAAAGAAAGGCAAACGTTGAAAGAGTTTTTTTGTACACGTACTCTTCCCCGAGGTTTGGGGATTAGATTTTGACAGTTAGGCCCCGTAGACAGAGTGCTTTTTCTTATGGACTCCACATTTCTTCCAGCGGTTCACTAGTTTGTAGTTTTGCTCCTCTGTGCTTCCAAGATGATCCACTAAAGTAGGACTCTGTCAGCGAATGAGTAGAATGGGCAGACATGACTGTTGTGTTTACACGTAATATGTATCACAATGTATTTGTGCGCATTGTGTGTGTGTGTGTGTGTGTGTGTGTGTGTGTGTGTGTCTACTACAACAGTGACATATTGTACCTTTATCAGCAATTGTATACTTACTATTGCCAACTAATTTTATCATGTAATTTTAACTCAGTCTAAACTAGCTTAAAACTTTTTTTAATTGTTTCTGAATATTGAGTGCTACATTTTAACATGTGCACACATTTCCATCACTCATCAAAGTATCCTAAATAATAATAGAATGTGAGTGAGTCGGGGGCTGAATCTTCATGTGTTTTCTCTAGTATCCCACCAGAGGGCGACCTGTCACATCTCACCTCTCCACAGTCCCTGACTCGCATCTCAAACAGCTCAGTGTTGCTGTTGCTTACGCCAACAATCAGTTGTGCCGGGCTACTGCGTTCAGTAAGCCGCAGCGTTGCTAATTGGCTTGCAGAAATCAATAAGCCAATCAATCAAATTAATTATCATATTTACCATCATTAATAAAGGGTACATTTGTTGTTTATCAAACTAGTTAATAGTTATTTTACTGTTAACAAACAATGAAATGATGTATTAATAATGTTTACTAATTATTTGTTATAGTTTATTTAGTTTTATAGTTATTTTGTGTATTAAGAAATACTTATATATTGTATCATAACTGACAGGAGATGATAACAATAACATTCTGATTACATTAGTACACTATAAACAGTGTGTTGTTGCACACATTCTAACATTTTAGATACTGTATTAAGTATTTGTTAATGATTTACCAAATGATTTGTAAAACCTCTTTAAACATTACATAGATGGACCAGAAACCAATTAATAAACATTGACAAAGTGTCAGCTATCTGTCTAAATAATGTTTATAGATGCTTTACAAATTATTTATTAACATTTAACACAGTATTATAATCATCAGTCATCTAAATAAAGTTAAAAGGTTTTCAGAGAATATATAAAATGTTATGTGTGCAACAAAAAACTGTTAATACATCATTATTAATAATTAGTCCACATTATTAATTACCATTTCATTGTTTGTCAATAGTAAAATAACTATTAACTAAAGAGTAATTGACTATCAATTTGCTATTTACTAATGATGGTTATTATAGAGTGTGACCCTGTCTTTTTTCATTGAGTAGATCAGGTTCATTGTTATCTATCTGATGACCGTTGGCCTTTTGCGAGCCAGAATCTCTGGATTTAGGTTTAGACCAAGTTGAAGCCTTTTTGTTAGTACGTGCTTTAAATGGAGCAGTATAGTACAACTGCTGTACACTGCTTTGTTCCTGCAGTGCTCTGTACGTTTTTTAATTTAATCTCCATCATTGCCAGTTACCAAACTGAATCCACTAATACCGTTGCAGTTCCTGAGCTGTGTCTGTCTGTGTTTCTGTTATCCGCGTGTCCAAAGTGTCTGCCGGGTTCTCTAAATCTCAAGTGTTTGGGCTCCAGGCGAGAGGATGCTTGACCTTTCCACACAAAGTGGAAGTAGCCACCTTTCTCCCTTGCTGTGTTTTCCAGTGGTCTGTAAATAATGCTGCAAACTGCCTGGTTTCCAAAAACCAACGAAACCCATGCAAGGATCTCTAAAAGATGGGATAGCATGATAGTCTCTGACGTGGTTTCCTGAAGTGATGGGAGAAAAGTGAGTTTCATTTGTTTACATTATGTTTACAATGGCACAGTTTTAATTTTTAAGAATATATATGTAGGTATAAACAATATTTGCATATTTATTGCCTAAGGTTAAATGACATGATGTGTGTTGTGTTTTCACATTTGGAATATAATGTTACAGTTCTCACCTGTATTACTATCTGGATGATTTTGGTAAAGTAGTTGATCATTTTCATGACTACTAAGTGACTGTTTTCTGTGCCTTTGTATGGTTAGAATGCATGGTTAACTATTTATTACAATTTGGAGTCACTGAGATGTGTATTTTTGTATTCTGAATAAATAAATGGTTGAGCTTTTGTTGTATATTTTTTAGGTGCCTTAAAACAGGCTACCTATTCATATCTCTCTTCTTCAATAAAACCAAATACATATGCAGTGTGTTTCCGCCTTCTTCTGTTTCGATTTCGCTTCCAGTAAAAGAATCAGTGCTGTAAAATGTGAAAAATCTTCAGGGGATAAAATGTGTTCCAGCTGACAGCTATACCTAGATATTTAATAGCGCTTTTGCCCCCTCTCAAATGAAAAAAATCTTCTGTTCAAAGTTTCCCTATTGTGTCATAAGATAAATCTGCTCTGCAAACAAATTGCAGTTGGCATTTAAAAGTTTCAAAAACCAAGTGTTGAATAGCTACATTGTGATTGAAGACTGTGGGCCATCTGTGACATTTGAATTTCTTTTGGATCACCCACATCCTTAATCATTTCTCTCCACATCCCCTCCTCCGCTTTTATCTTTTCTCATAGTCTTGCAATGTCTTTTTTAAACCCGTAATGTTTTCAGTAGCTCATTTTAATTCAAGTCAATGTTTTTTCTCATGGCATCTCACTGAATCTCTGGCAACAGAGATTTTTTACTGTCTGATCCCTTCCGCCTCTGTTTCACCAATTGTCAAAACCTCAACGTTTTTCCCCCTAGAAGCAAAAACCCAATTGTGAAGCACATGGAATCTGTTTTATTTCCATATGTTGTGACTGTTGATGTGCCAACATATCAAAAGTTTCCAGGACAAGCACATATTGCTCCTAATTTTTCTTCTGAGATGCATTATTAAGACCTGGAAACATCTGTGATGGTAAGGAAATGAAAACATATGGGAACCCTTTTCACATTCAGACATCAGGCTTAAGTTACATTTTTTTATTGCATTTCTTAGTTCCTGTAGGCAATAACAACAACAAAACAACATCCATTTTTATCTGGCCATGCTGTTTTTGATGATTAGCCTTTACCAAATGGTCAGGATGTCAATAACTTCCTGGAAGCCACCGGATTAGTTTTTAAATATGCAGTTCCATTAACATGATCTCAAAATGTGGTCAATGAAATGGTGGAACAAACCATTAAATGGTCAATCTACTGCTGCTTGGCAATATTGTTGGAAACTTCTCTCTTCTTTAAAATGGGCATTTAACGTTGTTTCCTTTCCATTCACCACAACCAATCAAAAAGCTTTAATTTCCTTGTACACATTTTAGATACAGTTTTCTTGTCAATTTCAAGAAATATGTTTAAGGGAAGGATGCAACTCATCACTAATGAATGACACAAGAGCATATAGCATCAGCATTTTCAGTAATAAAACTAAAAAAAAATAAATTAAAAGCAGCAATTTGTGTCTGTGGCGATAAACATACATAAATGGTGCTATGGAATTAATTAAAATGTATTGACACTGTACTGTGAATGAATCAGGTGTGGCTTTAAAATACATTTTAAGTGCAGGATTTGAATAAATTAAATGATGTATCATCACTTTTCATTGCTGTATTCGTGTGTTTATATATTTTGTATACAATGAAATTCTTTAAGTCATAAATGTAAACATAAAAGCCATTAAAAAAAACACCCCTGTTTGATTGTTCTGTGTTCGACAGTGACAGAGTGCGACACACACCGATTGCTCGGCGTGCGATTGATGATGCCTCGTCACTCTTGTTTTCATGGGAAGAGCAGTGTGGCACAGGAAATGAGGAATCCGAATCATTTGTGAGATTTGGTGAAGTCGAATCGTAAGACGGTAAAGTCTGTATATATTTTTTTGAACTCATCCAACGTTCAGTGAAGGTCTGGCGCTTGGGAAGGATTTAAATAGTTATTTTACCCGGTTTCAATGATGAAAATTAGGTAAAGCGTCCCTTCAGTTACGCTACCGTTGGCAAGAAGAGTTCAAAACGGACGAATCGTTTACGGCTCGCGCATCAAAAACACAGCGGCTACACCGTCAACACTGCTGGAGTCCTGAGAGGTGAGGCAAAAAATGACTTCTTAATAACGGCACACAGCTATGTTTGGAAACATACAGAAAAAAGGCCACATATTGCAGCTGGTTTAGGTATTTAAATCTAACTTTAACGGTATCGTTAGCTTGGTGGTGGCTAGGTGTGAGCTAACGACAATAAAGGTGACATCACAGGCCTGGTTCCGCTGCTAGCCTCCGGATGATTGACAGCCTGTCAATTTAGCAAGCTGGCTAATTTGACGTTGGTTTGCCTGTCGCTTTGTGAATTTTACGATGGTTTTGTTAAGTGTTTTATCTGCATAATGCGCTGCGGCTGTCCAGCGAGTTAACCGTGTTTTGTGTGTGTGTTGTTTTTGTGGTCGTGAATCAACATCAACATCAGCATCCACAGTGTGGCCTGCTGCTGCGGAGGGAAACCAGCCCCACAAGCCGTAACGTTAGCTTGTCATTCCTCCAGGCAGGGTTTGGTAACGTAAATTAGCTTATTACATGTTACGTTAGAGGTGCAGAATATAACAGCCAGTCTGTTGTATAAGCAGGAGGTCGTCAACAAAGCATGGTGTGTTATATCGCGTTGCAACGACGAAGAAATGTACAAAATACAATAGTTATGTTTAGTGAGAACATGGTGTCTTGCATATTAAATGTCTGGTATTTGTTTTAACCCTGTTTGCAGCGGTGGTCAGGGGGACCACCACCGAGGTGACACCCTAAAATTAGATAGAATCTATCTATACCCAAGACCTAAACGTAGCTCTTGAATGTATGACATCAGTACGCTGACATGTTTAAGATGTGTCTACTGATTTGCTGCATCAAAGGACATTACATCAAAAGTGTGTCTTAGCAGTTCTAGTATTCTCTATGGAGAAGGACTGCAAATTATAACACAAGGCAGCCCAAAACCTGATGATAATGAAGCCGTATCATATAAGACAGAGACAATTGGTTAATCCTCACAATATAATGTAAGAAGACATTTGACATGACATGGGCCCTGGTATTATCCGAGCTGGTCCACTGACATGCTTTACCAGAACAGAGCCATCGTTAATGTTATCAGTAACACCTGCTGTGCTGTTCCAACTATGACAAGCCAAGACATAATTCAATGTAATGTAATTAGAAGGACTCATTGGAAACTGGAGCAAGGGAATGTTTGGCATTTTTGCTTTATTTGACGTTCAGAGCATTAACAGTAAACAACTATGTGTTATGTGAATATCATGCACCTTTTTAAAGATTGCATTGAATATTCATTCAAAATAGCTCTACTATGGAGCATCTCCTGCTCCAACATTTGTCTCAATGCAACCAGCACCACATTGCTGTCTCTCTGTTGGTCAACCAAACAAAGGACTAGTTCACATATCGGAAAGATAAGTTATTCGGGTTTAGATTGAGTCTTTGTCAAGTCTTCCAGGCTGTGCTTTTCTCTCTCTCCGTTTCTGTTTATCTATCCTTCCGGCCACCCACACTCATGCTCAAAAGTTGGCCCACATCAGCTCTGAAACCAAACAAGATTTTAGACTACACAGTTTCTGGCCTTGACAGGTTGTTTTGCCACCGCCCTTCTAAGATGATCACAAACACCCCTTTGAATCTTTTTGGCAGGATCTGCTGAGCTTCATTTCATCTCTGTGCAAACAAACATAATGCGTTTTATGAATCAGCACTTGAGGATTTCTTTAAGCCGAAACTTAGTTACATTTAATTGCAGTTTTTCCACGATATGACTAATACCGAAAACATGTGGCGTTATGTGACCACATCAGTTGGACAAGGTGGTGATGGAGGCCAATTAGCATACCGCTGAATACTAAAGCTGTGAACCCAACATGAAACATCCCAGGCTAAAAAAAAGCAGATATGTTGTTCATCTCTGTTCCAGATAGCCACAGCCATAATAGACGCCATTGTGCCTGCTTGCCTTGTGAGTGAATTGGGATGTGCTGCATAGTTAAGGTCAGGCAGCAGCAGCAGCTGGCCGTGTTGTTTTTGCGCAGCCCACCAAAGCACCCATGAGAAGCTAGGAGGTCCTGGATCACCAGAGGAAGCCAGTGGCTTGTGTGCTGCCCCTCTGGTTCTCAGGATGCAGGCTGGGCTGATCAATGGGACCGCCTGCCTGTGTCTAGACTCCTCTGGCTGCTTTGGACCGTACCTCAAAGGAGAGGCTTGGATTTCTTGGGAAACTTTTGCTTCTTGTACACTGTAAATATTTTGCCTCCTTTACCCGCTCTCTCATGCTGCTTACCGAGTGTGCTTCCCCTGCTCAGTCAGAGCACACACCCCTTTTCTCTTTGCCTCGCTGTTTGATCTTTGATGCAGGCCTGACTGTTTAAAGAATATCAAAAGAAGCAAGGCCTACTATAGCTTATCCTCGCCAGCAGGACAAGTCTAGGCCTACTTTCAAGAGCTTTATTCAGGTTATTTTCACACAGGTTTGAAGACAATGTGGTCTACAAGTTTAGCTGTATAATCTCAAAGAAATGGAGGTACAACCCACAAGGTTAACTGTATGGCCTCCTTGCCTAAATGTTTCGTAATCCCTTTCACAGGCTTGATCCCATTGATAGCTGTTGGTTCAGTGAATCAGTGAATGGCACTGATGCAGTGACGGAGCTCTTTGTTGCCTGTGAACCTGTGACTTTGTCACCTCATGCTTCCTGTTTTGGCATGTGTGTGCGCAACAGTAGATGGGGACATAGTGGGATGTCTCTTTGTCTACTCGTAGCACACAACTTGTCATTGCTTTGTCATGTGATTTGTTGTGTGACAGCTGAGGAGCAGCAATCGAGATCTCACGTTCAACATTTCTGTTTTCTTTTACTTGCTGCGGATTTGTTGATTCTATTTTCTACCTGCAGGTGAGCGGCCGGTCAGCCAGCCACGTGCAGCTCTCTGCCGCTATGGATGCCTGTGCACGTATTAGAGGAATCCCCATAAGGTCCAGGGCCTCAGTCCGGAAAGAGGTCCGTCTGCTGGGACACTGCATTTTATTCTGAAAATATCTGTTGTGTACTGTATGTTTTGAAAGGGGGATTTCCAGCCCCACTCTCCAGGGATTCTCTATGGCTGCCATGACATCTGACATTAGCTTTTTATTTATTTATTTATTTATTTATATTAAGAAGCATTTCTGCAGGACAAATTGAAACACACTGACTGACTGCTGCACTTTACTTCCACTTGTAATGTCGATGTTACGGTAAAATGCAAAATATCTCGTCGTAGTTGTTTGTCCAGTTTGAATTGAGTATGATAACAACGTACAGTCCTTTTTTTGTTTGTTTGTTATCTGTAGTTGTAAGTTTCTATGTAAATGTTAGACCAACAGGATCGTAAAGTGTTTTAAATGCCACTTTGAATACAATCTGATGAGCCAGGATCTATATTTAAGGAAGTGTAAATGCACAAAGGTATATAAAAGAAGATGCACAAAGCTTCTTCACTCAACTTTCATGCATCCTACAGTGATGCACACATACACATTGATTTTTCATTGTTTCTGTTGTGTAACCATGTACTTGGGGCTTATTAACGCTGCATGTGTTTGCAGACCGTGCGTGACGGTGGGCCGCAGTGTGTGAAGAGCCTCTTTAGGAACAAGAAGGAGCTGTGCAGCGTTGGCCTGGATCTGCCAACCAGAGACGCCACGAGGCTGACCGAGGTTTGTCACACAAACAGTAGGGCAAACATGTGCAGAGTACAGCCGTAGTCAAACACGAGACGCAGCGATACTGACCATCAACTGTGCTCTTTCAGATTCATTTTGTGTGTCTGCCTGGCCAATGTGAGGGGGATGATGTCACCCAACGGGTACCTTTTCGTAATTACAAACAGGAGTTATGACAAAACACTGAAGGAAAGACTTTCACTTGTTAAATACAATTCTGATGTGGTACTGATGGCCATTTTGTGTCTTCTTCTTCCCCAGGCTCTGTTTTCTATGCCCGGAGGGCTGTGTGAGCTTCTGAGGTCCCTCCACGTTCACAGCCTCAAAAATGACGAGGTTCTGCTGCTCAAAGACTCCCGCAGGCTGGCAGATCACCGGGACGCGGGGCCTCAGGTGGGTGACGGATCTTTCATATTGAAGGAATGTGCTCAGTCAGCATGTTTTGAGGAAAGGGGAAGTGAGCAGAAGGCATGGAAGTGAGGGGAAATGATAAGAGGAAGTAAGAATGAGCTACTCTACTCATGTATCCTAACACGAAGTTATTTCCTTTATTTAAAAGAAAAAGCACCAGTGGCTCAGGATGATTATTTTAAGAGAATACTTTAATAGAATATCAATAGCATTGGCTCCTGTTTTAATAATTTCCCTTGAAAAATTTGCCTTACCCTAAAACTCAACAAGTGCTAATGAAATAAAACGTTTATTTACACTAGAAACATGCACATTTGAGTACTTAAATGACAGATATCTTACTCCAAGACAAGTTTTTAAATGTTTAATTAGTAAAACTGAATCACTTTCTGGGTGTGCCGTTTTGTTGTATCTTCCTAAAATTCTTGCATTTGTTGACGAAATGGTTTCCCCATATTTATGGCCTTGTCTGTCCCTTCATGTAAACGGACACACCAAGTCGTTCTCAGGCTTTTGAAGAAGTGCAGGTGGGATGGACGGACAGAGATGTTGTTTTTCCAGCCTAGTCCTTCTTGGTCCTGTGTGCAGTGTTTGGGTACACACAGGCCCTGCAGCTCACTCTGTGGTTTTGCCGTTTCACACAGTGAGACCTCCCACCTATCGGCAGTACTACTGCACATGCAACAGATCAACTCGCAATCAGAGTGCAGACATAACAATGCACTACCAGCTTCTCTCTGCCCTCCTGTAAGATTAGGATAAAAAAAATCTCATGTGAATTCAGTTTAGTTTGCTCAGATCTTTCACATTATCAGCTGCTGCTGCTGATTGCAGGACATGATCGCTTTGACAGTTTAAAGACTGTCTGTTGGTTACAAATACTGTAATTTTTCTCTAAATCAGCTGATTAAATGTGCCATTTCGCTACCTGGGCACTGCCGAGGAGCCCTAGAGCAAGGCACCAGACCCCCAACTGCTCCCCGGGTGCTGTGTGTTCTGTGCTGTGTACTGTGTAACAATAAAAGTTGATTTGATTTAAATTACCAGGCTTAACTTTCAGTATTTCTCTCTCCCTTGTCCTCCTTTCTTTTCCCCTCTTTGTCTCTTTCCGCCTCTAGTGTTGTTTAAAGGCCGTGTGTGTGCTGAGGCATAATCCCAGCACTAGTGTCTACCCTCAAGCCAGCGTAGCATCTTTGGTGGGCTTGCTCGGGTGTTACGTGGCAGGCGTCCGCTATGCTTTGGAGCTCCAGGCTCTGCAGAGGGGCACAGCTGAGCCCAGTCATCCGGAGGAAGACGACACCAACCAGTCGGTCTCATCGATCGAGGATGACTTTGTCACAGCCCTGGAGCATCTGGAGGAGGACGACACCGGAGACCATCCCTGTAGGTTAAACATCGAATGCTTGGTGTTATTTAGTAGCCTCGGGTCTCTTATGTGGAATATCTTGTTAGCCATCATCTGAATGTACATACTTCTGCTAAATCCAAAATGGAGACATTTTAAACCTGCTCTGTTTTTCATACCACCATAATCTATGCATGATATCGTTTTAAAAAGTGGTTCAGTGCTAGATGGCACTCTTATAAAGGCACAATGGATGAGCATGTTTTCAGTCGGCTTTCTTTTGTGGTTAACGTTTTGTGGTATTTGTCTCCTTTTCCTGTCCATCTCCACAGCTGCTGCTTCCTATCTGAAAGGCCCTTTTAGAAAGCGTGATGTGGCATCACAGACAGTCCCAGCCCACAAGAGAAAAAAGGATTTCGCAGGCGCCCGCATTATCATAGGCTCATCTTCGAAGAAGAATTTGCATAGGTCTGGTCCAGATGTATCTGTCACAGTGCAGAAGTCATCATGCATAGAATCTCAATGGACTTACTGCAGTCCCGGAGCTCGTCTCCCCTCGCCTTTGAATAATGTCAGTGAATCGGAGGAGTCGGACTGCTCCAGCCCCAGCCCAATCATTTTCCTGGATGAGGTGGGCTACCAGAAGAGCCTGCTGGCCAAACTGGACATCCCCCAGGTTCCAGGGGGGCCCAGAGAGCGAGTTGAAGACTCAGACTCTGAAGTCAGTGAATTCTTCGACAGCTTTGACCAGTTTGATGACCTGGAGGAGCTGAGCTCAGACAACTGCACTCTCGCGCTGCCTCTGGATGCCGTCAGTGCCCCAACCGCATCCAAATATGTTTCTAGGGGCTGCTCAACCAAGGGAATGAATCCTCACCGCTTTGACCAGCCCACCCTCCCAGCCAATGTGAAGAAACCTACACCTCTGAAACCAGGCTCTCCCTACTCACTTCACTCTGAGGTGCCTGACTCCCCTCGACCCGTGCAGATCCCCTCTGAGGAGAACGGTGGCCCACTCTTTAGTCCCGTCAGCTCCTCAGCCTTCAGCCCCCTGGTGGACTCCAGTGGACCGCTGGCATACTTCTGGAAGGCAGATGAGGATGGACGGGATATCTCAGAGCTACGTAAACCCCAGGATCTCTGCTCTCTGTATAAGACCTACTCAGACTTTGCGAGCAGTCTCTCCAAAGAAATTCTAGGATCTGTGTGTGGCTACCAGTCTGCTGTTGACATCAGCGACAACAAGAATCTCAGCTGCGTCTGCCACAAGGAATTTCAGAACCCATCGGGCTACCTGATGAAGCTCTCAGAAATACAAGAGACCGTAACAGTGGCCACGCTGCAGAAGAAGTCCCAGTCTCTGAAGGACGGCATTCAGAGGTTTGCCACTGACCTGGTGGAGATGAGCTTGGGCAGTGCCTTGCGAGACCTCCAAAAAGGTGTATCCTCCTGTACCACCACCTTGTGTCACCTAGCTGCCAGGCTCACCTCTTCAGTGTTTCAAATGGCCTTCCATGAGATTGGCATGCGCCATGCCTATGTGTTAAAAGAACGAGCAATCAACGGATTAGCTGGCTTCCTGGTCGGAGAGGCTGTGTCTGGGGCGCTCAAGGAGTTCCTGACAGTGAAAAAGCAGATGTTCCACAACACTGTGACACAATTTGCAGCTGATCTGGCTGAAGAGTTGGTGTTTGAGGGCATTATGGAAGTGTGTCAGTTCTCCCACCCCTCGACCCCTCTCACCCCGAGTGATTGGTCCTTTGGCCGCGGGCAAGAGGAGGAAGAGGAAGAGGAGGAGGAGGTGGTTTCCTCCTATGCTTCAGACTTGTCTGAGTCAGTTATCCAAGAGGCCTTCATAGAGCTGTCTCAGGCTGATATTGCCTTCACTAGCCAAGCGGCTATTAGTGTGTCTCTGGACAACATCTGTTACGTCAGTGCAGAGAACGGTAGCGCTCAAACCTGCAGTACCTTTGCTAACCAGCAGGTTTTAAGTGCCAGCTCAGCTGCAGCGGTTCCTGGGCCCTCAGGAGAGGATGCTACCTGCACGGTGAAGAAAGCCCTGTTTACTGTATCCGGCATGGCCAGCTGTATTCCTGTGCCCCAAGCAGGCCAAGCCCTCTCCCACCTCCAGGATTCTGAGGAGAGCTGTCCTGTGTCTAGCTTGTCGGATGTCCCACAGGCCAGCCCCCAAATAGTAACTGTATCCTCCGCCGACACCACCACATCTACCCAAACTTGCCTTTACAGTCATGGAACGCAGACCCCCACACCTGGAGAAGACCCCTCCCAAGGAAAGTCTCCATTCCAAAACTTCTCTGGCAACATGGTGGATATGATAGTAACTGAGGCTTGTGAGCTAATAACTGCATCTAAGATGAAGAAGAGTTTTGGTGACTGTGCTGATTTCTTCACAAAGACGATCAGAAGCAGAAGGGACTCTTCTTCTAAACAAGACGCGTTTAATTATGAGGCTCCAGATTCCCCTTCAAAGCAGGCAGCTGGCTTCAGATATGACCCAGCAACAGACCAAAGCATTCCTCACATTTCTTTTCAGGCAGGCTCTCATAGACAGGGGAGACCCAGCTGTGAGGTAGACCCCAGGACCAGAGGAGTGGCTGAAATACATCCTGTGATGATGGATGCTCTTGATGTGCCGGGTACCGAGATGAGTGGACAAAGGAGGATATCTGTTCCTGGGGATGACTCGGCTCCAAACTCCGGGCAAAAATCTGGTGGGACTCCTGGCACTCCCCCTTCTACCCCTCAGCAGCCCAGTGAGGTGTCCAAGGAGAAACAGATAAAACGGTTCTCCAAGAAGCTGAAAAGCAAGCTGGCTAAGGAATTTTCCCCTGCTACCCCCCCACCCACTCCTCACTATCAGCCTGAGCCCGGCCCAGGGCCAAAAGACGTAACCCCCGAGGCAGACAAGGCTGAGTTTATGCTCAAACTGATGAGGTCTCTCTCTGAGGAGGCAGACGGCAATGAGGATGAAGAGGAGGACGAGTTGGCAGAAGAGGGCCGTGTTGGTGGCACTAACAGATGTTTAGAGTCGGTGGGTGGTCGGCATGAAGTGAACCAGATGTCCGCTCGCAGAATGTCCAACAAGGAAGCTCTCCACTATGCTGAGCGGTTGGCTTGCCACATTGTCTCCATGGCCACAGAGATGGACACCCTGGGAGTGGCAGAGGAGGAGGAGGAGGAGGAGGAGGGAGAGGTGAGCAAGGGCGGCGAGAAGAGGAGAGACAGCGTGGCTCAGTTCTCAGAGCAGACCCTGAACACCTTGTGGGTCTATGCCGGGGAGGTGGCTGGAGAGGTCATCAATGATGTGAAGAGGATGGTGAGCTCTGCACAGCAGTGTCCATACCACAGAAGAAGAAGCTTTGACAGATCTGGTTCTGAATGCTTGCATCACCACCACCAACACCCGTCTCAACCCATTACAGACCAGAACAGAGACTGGAGGGTAGGGAGGCTGGCTGAGCAATGGTCTAATGACCTGATAGCCTCCGTCTTCCGGTCTCCCACCTCCACTTCAAGCACCATCTCCAGCTCCAGCTCGGGCCTGTCCTCTGAGTATCCTAGCTGTGAGAGCGTGACAGATGAATATGCTGGCTACCTCATCAGGGTGCTGAAAAAAGAGGGAGGCAATAGGGAGTTGGTCCTGGACCAGTATGCGAGCCGCTTGGCCTACCGCTCCATAAAACTGGGCTTGGCTCATGCCAGTCGCAAGATCAAGCATAGATCCTCCAGCACCCGCCTTTACTCGTCCAAGTCGCTGCCAGATGAATGGAAAGCCTCTGGTTGTGAAGCAGCCCAGCCCAAGGACAGAGCAGAGTCAGTGGTTTGTCCCTCAGGCAAGGATGCTCAGTGTAGTTGCAAGGACTCTGAAGAGCAGAGTCGGAGGGAGTACATGGATCTGGTCAACTTCGCAGAGTCTTTAGCCTACAACATCACCTGCGATGTGACACGCAAGCTGCATCTTTCCTCTGCACGACTGCCCAAGTCTCTCACTGACTCCTGTCTGTACAAGAAATCCAAACTGGAAGACATGGCAGAGAGTCTCATCAGGAACTCCTTCTCTTGCCCCCTGTTGTCAAACGAGGGTAAGAGCAGGCATTACCACAGTACAGGAAGCCTGAATGATGATGGAGGCTACAGGAGTCGGGTGATGCAGGTCGTCGAGCATTATGCCAGGAAAATAGTTGATGACACTCTGAAGATGAGCCTCTCGTCAGTTGGACATTCATCCCGGGAGCACCAGAGGACCCAAGGCCAGGACAGACACTCTCACACCCAGAGGTTGTCTGAGGGGCCATCACTGGGTCTCGCAATGGTGGAGAGGACATGCCGGTATTGTCAGGTCCAGGAGTGCCCGTACTGCACCAAACCCAGCAGGCACCACCACCAGCCCGTATCACAGAGGAGCAGAAGGGGCCCGGAATCTCAGGCAAGGCCTGAGCGGCTTTCTAGCCTGGAGATTCCCAAGATCCACATTAACCGGGACCACAGGGCGGTGTTTGCAGAAGAGATGGTGTCCATGGCAATTAACACCGCTAAACGTGAGCTGAGCAACACCAGCCTCAATGCTGACAGCGGCATCGGCCATGATGGAACCAGCTACGCCGAGAGCCTAACTGCTGAAATCATGACGTCGGCCCTGTCCAACATCTGCCAGACCGGCAACATCAGGTAACCACATCAAGAGTCACATTAGTAGTTGCTTTTGTCTGTTCTGTCATGTTCAATGCATATAAGAAAAAATGGTACTTTAAAGCTGCTACTATTTCACATTTACTTCTTGTCTGACACAGAGAATTTTCATCATCTCTGTTTTTTGTCTCCTTTCATCTATCCGTGAATTTAGCTTCCCAGGTAGGGAAGCCACTGAGTCCTCTGTGTCCCAGCAGCTGAGTGTAGGAGACGACAGTCTGGGCAGCTGGTCCAACCTGAGCTTTGAGGATGAGCACCTAGACGACAACAGCAGCTTCCTCCACCTCAGTGACAGGTAAACAAGCACTGGTCTTCTCATACGTAGCATGCCAAATATCCGGTTAACTGTAGAGCACGCTGCTGTTATCTCCCCTTCTGTCCATATTTCACTGTCGTAGTAGATAATGAATACACTTTGCAGATTACCAGACACTAAACCATGTATTTGATTATGATATGTGTGTGTGTGTGAATCTGGGAAATGACAGGGGAATTTGATTCTTGATTACTTTTGGCTCTCATAGTCTTTCCCTCTTGCCCTTTTATTGGTGCCAATAAGACATCCACAATGTGATTTGACACAAGAGTATTGATAAATGAGCAAAGTAGGAGTTATTGAAACTCCTTCTGTGGACTGGGTACAGTTTTGTCTTCCCATTGTCTCCCGGAGGTGATAGGGTATCTTTTTCCAACAGGGTGGTAAATGCCAATGTTTTTCATTCGGTTCTTTATTTAAATGTGAACAATCTAATCTTGGGTTCTATAAAAGAACAATAACATACAGTCAGATAAGATAACATAGGATGTGTAGGAAAAGTACGATATGAATTTGAACACATTGGTCACAAGGTGTGTAATGGCACAGTTGAGTTCTCTGGGGAAAAGTCTGACGTGGGTTTGATATTTCAGTTTGAGGCACTAGAATTCTTTTCTTGTGCAGTCATGGACTCTGGACTTAACGAATCACTTTAGTCGCGCTGTGTTGATGTGTACTGTTCATCTCCTCGGACCCAGAGCACTACAGAAAGACTCTTTTCCTGCTAGTGTTGGACAGCAGCCGTCTCCTGTGGTTGCCTCTAGATGGGAGGTTTCCCAAGATCAGCACAGGGCACAGTGTGTTGTTTGCAAACCTCATTTTGACTTCACTGCCAAAATGCAATTTTCTCTAATTTGTGCAGTTGTTGCATTATATGAGAGCTTTAACTGATATGTTGTTTAAGATTAAATGTAGTCGCTGCCAAGTTGTTCTCAGAATGTTTGTGAAATACACCACAGGGATACGCACCAAGTAGTAGTTGTGACAGAATTGGCCTTAGATGGATATTGTCACTGTTTGTGTGTTTGTATGCAAAAGAAACAAAAACAGGATGTGAGTGGGACAGAGTGAGTGACATGATATCATGTGTCCAGCCTCTGGGAGTCAAGTTGTTGACATTTCTGGGAAAGGTTGACCTCTCTATGGAAGCAAAACTGACAACATTTGAGATCCGTTCCCAAGATCCTCAAAGAGCACGATGTGTTAGCATCTAGTTATTTTTGCCATCAGGGCCAAGTTAATGTATCATCATATTTTCTAAAGGTGTGTCCTTGAGTGCTGTCATCACTTCAGGCAGTGTTTCTATAGGAGCAAAGTCCCCCATGGGCAATTCATTAGGCAGATTAAATAATGGAAGGAAAAAACGCACCTTGAAGGTGTCATCGGGACACTTGAGCGTGACGATTGACTAAATGAAGAAACTCTCACCATGTGTCATTCACTCAAACCGCAGAGAGAAAACTGCAGCTGAGGTAATGCAGATTAACAGAAGGTATATTTAGGTATCAGAAACGTTCCTCCCTTCAGCCGCACGCCACCGTGTGCAGGTTCCAGCCAGCAGGCTAATCATTGACTAATTACAGATGGTGTGTGTGCTGCTGTTGCCAGCTGGTCGTCCTGGCGGAACCCTCAGGATTAAGGACAAGAATGTAATGATCTCACATTGTAGGCCTTTAGCAACAAATGGTCTCGATCAACATTACAGATGAGTCAGTGGGAAAAATCTGCATCATTAAGAGAACCCTCCTCTGTTTTTAACCTCACCTGGCATTTCAATGGATTATTCGAAAATGGCAGAAAAAGAATGTCATCATCCTGAGTATTGTTTGTTGAAGCTACATGATAGATGGGCTCATTACAGCCAACGGGATGAAACTGCCGCCACGTCTACTGTCCTGATGTTTGTTCCGTTTCGGTAGCGCTCGTTAGCAAGTAGCCTCCGTCGGTGTTACAGTGGTGCGTTCGTTACCTGCCTTCTCTCTCCAGCAGCAATGGGAACAGCAGTAGCTGGAGCAGTCTGGGCCTGGAGGGGGAGGCGTGTGAGGAGCGCATGTCGTTCTCTCCCTCTGACAGGTTGGTCAGCAACCTTTGACTAAAAAATATTATTTTTTTTTTTAAGAAGCCCGTAAGACCTGGGGGTTTACCCAGAATGAGACAAAGAAATAGTTTTACTATGAAGCCAAATCTAAGTCTGCAGACGTGTAACAGATCCATCAGTGGAAAATCTCAGCACAAAATTGGAACCAGGAAGCTGCCTCATCATGTGAAAATGATTTAGAAGATTGTGCAATGGCATTTTGATTCATACTTTGTCTCATACTAGGAACCACCAGCCACTTGCATGACCACGCAAAGCTGTAAACATAAGTAGGCTTGACATATGCTTGTTGATTGTAATGTCTGCATGCGATGTATTGCCTCAGCTTGGCTGCTTGTTGTTTTGTTGCTTAATAGAATGTCTAGTGCTATGATATTTAACTTAAGGGGTCTTGCCCTCTTTACATTAATGCTATTCAACTGTTCAAAGCCACTAATAGGTTCAATTCACTTATAATAAAACTCTACTGCAGCATTGACGCATTGAATCCGCACTGCCAGACATTTATAACAATCCCATTGTTTTCTCGGGTCAGTCAATGTGTTTTTGCTTCCGTCCGTGCAGCCGTTTGTTTCGCCTCATAGCAGTGCAGTGTGTTCATCAACATGTTCATCAACATGTGCTTGTAGAAAACCCCTGAACGGCAATCTTTTTAATGCAAAGAGCTGCCACGGTAATGTTCTCCTTTTTAAAGGTGCAATGGGTCAAATCTGGACAGAATTTTAGTTAATATTGTCAAAAAATAGCATTATCACAAGAGTGTGAAGAAGTAATAGTAACAAGTAACAGCCCCGCCCGTCTTGTCTTGTAGTAGAGTAGCTTTTTAAAATACCTTATGACTGTACATTTAGATTGTTAGTACTCAGTAGTAGAGGTGAAATGCTGCTTTGGAGCAGTTGGCGAGGCATTACACGTTGAACCTATTAAACAAGAATGTGTCCTGGGTTTTATTTTAACAGTGAAATAATTAATGAATTCACTTCTCAGATGTCGGAGTTTCCCACAGACATCAGTGCTTTACAACTACATGATCATTTCTCACAAACGATACAGTGTAGTAACCGACAATTTCATACCAACAGTACTGTGTCGCGCACTCCTCCATCACTAGACGACGTCATCCAGCACTGAGGATCAAACAGTTGGTCAGTTCAGAGACGGCCATGAGGTGGCAGGTTTCTCACAGTTTCAGATTTTAGTTTTTGTCACTTCTAAACATGTCAATTAAGATTTAAGATTGTTAGAAACAAATACTGTCCTGTACGGTATAAAATACATGCTCCAGTATGTCACCGTCGGCTGATTTTGTTCAACTTTGATTAAAACAACAAAACATTTATTAGTTGCCAGTTGCAGCAAATACACTGGTGGGTTTGTACACCTCAGGCTCTGCCTTTAAAGGCCACAGATGATAAATCTAATGCGACTCAGTTATTGTCCTTTATTGCATGACTTTATAGTTGCTGCCATGTGTGTCTTAGTTTTTAGTCCTCCTCTGCTTTGATAAAGTCATTGCTGCTTCATGATCCTATTCATGAAAACAGTAAAAGGCGTCTCCCTTCTGGAGAGAGAAGGATCTCCTGATATTCTATTGAGCAGTGAAGTAAACGCGTCTGTAGCTGTGGGCCGTGTCAACAACACCGTGATTAACAATCTTATGAAAAGTTGAGAAATTACTGTTTACCTGTTGGCACATCACACAGAATGGATAAATCAACTTTCACACTGATCAAGTGCTCTGACTCATTGTGTCTTAACAAACAAACAATCTAAAGACACCTCCCTCGACGTGTGTGACTCGTCTGTTGATCAGGACTGCTTTGACTACAGTGCATCTTCTGATATATCCTGCTGTGCTTCTATCGAAGGCTGGAAGCTCGAGCATGCTCCTTGTCATCTGTGTCTCCTTGCATGCAGCCTCATGTCCCCAGCCACTTCCTACTTCTCACTAACCTGTGTGACATTTCCCATCCCACAGTGACCATACGGAGGACAGGGAGGCCGAGGTCAAAGAGGAATCCAGCGGTAAGGATGTTTTCATGGCTGCGACCACAGCGTTTTCTAATTCAATACACGCTATTGTGAACAAGACTCTCCTAATAGTTCCGTTTAACATAGCCCCCCCCTTCCTAATTTGAGGTCTTGCTCTTTCCACTCTTTGAGATTCAGAACAGTTGCCGTTGATTCCGGCCGGCTGTGTGCGTCTGCCTGCCTGTCTGAGTGTGTTGTAGCCGGGAATTTTACCACCCCCGTATTCAGACACACTAATGCTCATTCAACCACTCCACTCCCTCCAGTCATTCTAGTGTGTGTGTGTGTGTGTGTGTGAGAGAGGGGGGGGGGGGGACTCCTTGTTGGGTCTGTTATACTGTGGGAAAAGAGAGCAAAGGGCCGCTACATGTTACACTTATCGTATCCGTCTGTCTTTGAGATGTACTGGAGCAGAGCACACTAATGTGTCTGATCAGTGTTTCGGTGAGCCAGTGTCATGAGAATGCTTTGTAGAAAGAGACGCATGGATGATTCACCTTGAATGAACCACGTTGGTCTGTGCTGCAGGGACTCTCTGCGTGGACAGGACTCAGGTGCAGGCTCCCAGGACCGCGCTGTTCGTAGTGAACTCGGATGTCAGGGAGTTCGGGCGCGGCCCTCAACACGTGGCCCTCGACCCCCAGCTCAGGAGCATGCTGCAGTGGGTGGCGGCCTCCATGGCCGACATCCCCCAGGTCCAGCTGGGTCCCGACAGAGAGCTCCAGCAGGTGATTGCCCTCGGCCCGTTCTGAACGCGCTCATTACGTACCATCACGGCGGTGTTTATTATCAAACTTCAGCGAGCCACACTGCTTCGATGAAAGATTGTTGATGTTGGTTTTAAAGGTTGTGTTGTGGTATCCTGGTGTCCTCTTCAGTTAGCTTCGCTGTGGAAACAAACCGCTCAGGCAACGATTAAGTAAAGCAACTTATATAATATATCATAGTTCTGGTTCTCATTTCTTTAAAAATCTATTAAAAAAATGTATAAAGCTTTTAAATCATAGTACATGGGGCAATGAACACACAATCCATCCTCAACAACACAGATAAAAAAAACCTTCAGAAATAGCTTTATAGCTGCCAGCTCCTAACTGAGCACATGGGGACCTCTGCCCTCTCTGAATATTACAGTTCATATTCAGTTCTGTGTTGTAATCTTCGAATGTCGCTTCTGAGCTTTGGCTTATTCCAAATCTCCTCGTTCCATCTGTCCTTATGAATCTTTAGACTGACAATAAAATGTAACAGAAAGAGAAAACCTCTTGACAAAGGTTGATTGTGTGCCCTGTCCCAATTAAAGATCACTTTGATTAGCCTCTCCTCTGGCAACTAGACAGGGTGGCTCCACTACTGTTTCACATCCCTGCTTTATGAGACATGACAAGTGAGAATCCCTTACACATTCACCCACGTCTCATTTCTTGGCAGTGCACGAATACTCGTGAAATCGAAATAACAATTGATAAAGCTCCCGCGGCCTCCTTTTGATTGTGGAAGTGAATGATAATGGTGTGCCCTTTCAGCTCGCAGCGGTGGTCCAAAGGCTTCGGGAGAAGAAGTGGAGGGTGGGAGAGCTGCTGCACACGCTGCTGCGCTACTGCGAAGAGGGCCAGACGCACGGTCAGCCGCCGGCCAGAGACGAGACACCGCAGCCGGGCAGGGAACCTCACCGCATCCCCCTCTTCCAGTGGCTCCTGGAGCACGCCTAGGTCCTCATCTCCTCTCCTCTCTCCTCAGTTCCTAACAGGGCTTTGCAAAACTCCACTGCCCCTAGAGGGCGCCATACAAATCAACTAATCTATCTTTCTCTGATGAATGTGGGCGGCGTGTGTTTTGCATTGCATGCAGTGACCAACAGTACCTCTGTCGTGATTTACTTTTCTTTCCGCCCTCTGATTATGTTGTTGGAGATTCATTGTTTAACGAGCTGTCTCTCCCGCTCACCTTCACGTCTGAATTGAAGCCCTCACACCTCGCTGCCATTATGCTTGAGCTAAAAAATAAAGGTAGAAGCAAAAGAAAGAGAGAGAGAGAGAGTTAGACACTTCCCATCTATTCCAGACAGAAGTGCAGTGAGTTGAGAGAAAGAGAATGTGTGTTTTTTTGTTTTTTTTTTTGTTAGGGAATCCCCATAGCTGCTGGTCAGATGATGTCATCACACCCTCAGCTCACCTCTGTGGTGTTTCCACATGTTAAGAGACCAACTGTGCGCTCACACACTCTCACACACATGCCACACCCTTGTATTATCAGAGGGAACCCGAGATACACCAACAATCATCCTCAGTAGTGTTCCATTGTGATTCAGTCGGCTTTAGTGGCGTTTTCTTCTCCGAAGTTAAATGTCGATAACGTGACTCGTCACATTTGACTGATGATGCTGCCATACATACAGATTGACGAGGCGTTGTTCAATTTGCAAAAACCCATATCTTCAGTAAATTGTGCCACACTGTCGTCATGCGCTGATGATCAAATGGGCCGTTCACTTGGCGCTTGAATGATAATTAGCACTTGCTGAAGCTGCCTCTTGCCATTATCGGTATTCCTGTTGTATCTAATATCTGTAACGCTGCTTGCCGAGCCTCAATCTCCTTGGTTGTCAAACTTAGTAAAAATACTTGGAGTGGATGATGATTACTGTGACGGTTGGTATCAAAAAGTATCTATTTTTTTGAAGGTAGAGTGTGTCTAGTCAAACATGAAACGCTGCTCAAAGCTATGAAGAAGAAAATGAAAAATGAAAGCCATGATGTTGGCTTAATGTTGCCAAACGTAGCTTACAGGGTGGCTCGCCTCCCCTCCAGTCAGTAGTAAGTGAGTGATCCACCCCCGGTCAGCTGTGGCCCCACGTCCAGCTCCAGGGAAGATCCAGTGACGCAGACGGTCGATCTTTTAGTAATTAAAGACACTCCTCTGGTCTGCACCTCCAGAACCACAAACTAACAGCATGTGCGTAGCTCAAGCTTGGAATGAGGAACTCGGGTACCAAAACTACAGCACTAACTCATCTAACACGCACACACTTGTTACTCACCAGCCTCCCCATACGTGTGCCTCCTCACGCACAGCACTACTAGCTGAGATGCACTTTTTCTTTTTTTTTTCCGGAGAGACCGGGCATTTCCAGCCCTGCCCTCAGCCCTCTCCTGGCGCCCCTCTGTGAATTTACTCCCGGCATGTCTGTAAGCGTACATGCACAGAACTCCCTCCTCAAAGAGAGACCATTGGGATGCATTTTCATGGTTGCTATTTATTTATTCTTATCTTGAATGAAGGACCCAAGGATGACGCGACGCTTCGAGGTTCCTCAAATTTATTATCAGGACTTTCCCCTCTTGAGTTTGAATCACTGTAATATAGCACATTCTTCTTCTGTTATTCTAAACTAAGTGTTGTTGGTGGTGCTCACACCTGCATGGCTGAATCTTCATTGGCTTTTGCAGCTGAGCGTTCTTTATGTATTAGCTTAACTGAGCTGCAGCGATCGCTCCGTGTTCCACACTGCCTCGCGTTACGCTCCGGGCCCTCTGCAGGCCCGTTGCTGCTTAATCTGCAGGCTGCCAAACGGTCGTATAATCTTAAAGGTGTTTGTCCTGTATGATTTGTTTACATGCAAAAATGATTATATCACAAAATCCACTATTTTTAAAAAGTGATCCCTACTGTTAATGATGACAGTGGAAAAGAAGAGTCAAGTATTAACCTGAGAAGTGCGAGTGCATATATCTTGGTTTACATGAAAGGAATGTATTAAGAGTCGTCACCTGACATGAAGAGAGCGCATCACAGTGGACAGATTCTCTCCCAGTGTGAATGTGTCGTTGTTGAAGTAGGACTGTCCCGGGTTATTTCTCATTGTTCAGCCCCCTCTCTTTTTTCTTTCTTTGGTCTACTTTACCTTCCTGTGCATCCCACATGACCGATAGCTCTATATTGTTGTGTTTGTGAAAGCTGAATGTTTACTTGCAAAAGACTCTATTTAGAAGCAGACGCTGTCGATCTGTTTTTGCTCCTGTCGTTCCCAGTGTTACTTTCTGACCACAGGCGGGAGAATAAGACAAATAAGAAATGAAAAGAGAGAAGTACCTCGCCTCCACTCACTCCTGTATTGTTCCCGCTCCCTTGTACAACCCTGCCAAATGAAGATATTTAATAAGTTATGTAAGTTATATATCAGTGAGTTCACTCCTTGTTCTCCTTGATGAATAGTTTACACATTCTGAGCTTGAAGTCAAAAACTCTAAATTTGTTAATGTTGAAGCTTGGTGTGACAATAAAGCTTTTTTCATCTGCTCTTATTTATTGTCTTCTGTCTTTGATGTTGTTGTTTCACTTTTGTCACGGTGTGGCGTTACTTATAAAGTATATCATGTTACTAAATGAATTTAGTTTAAGCTTTTTGCTCAATGAAAGAAAATCCAATAATTTGTGTTAAAAGGGGGAAATGGTAATAAATCATTTAAATCTGTTCCCAACTAAAATTGCAAACATTCTCTGCTGCTATGTTCTAAAAAGTGAGGATTGTTGCTTTTTTTAATTTTGTAAATTAAATATTTCTGAAAAGAGGGAATATTTGAAAACAAGCATTTTTCCTCATGGTCCTCGGTGGTGGAAAAAAAAGACATTTACTGAAGTACTCCAAGTCTTTAAGTATAAAAGTAAAGGTACTTGTACTTTACTGACATGTTTCCATTTTATGCTAGTTTATACTTTAACTCCACTGTGTCAAAAGGGAATATTTGTAGTATAATGTACCATGCTCTGCTACATTTAGTTAACAAAATTAAATGTTAATCAATATGCTGCTTACTCACTGCAGTAATGCATCAATAATGATGATATAAAAAGCACATTTTGCTTCTTTTATTTCTGTTATAAGTAAAACGTTGAACACCAAGTACTTCTTCCCCCTCTGGTATCCTTACACTTTAAACGTTGAACATTAAATCCCCAAAGAATGATCCAGTTTGGTCAGACATAAGTAATTGTTACAGTAAATCCCAGCAGCAGCGGTGATGTACTGCATCAGAAACTACACCACATCAAAGGAAGTCTTTATACTGTCGGTGAAGTAGCTTAAACACTTTGACGACAGTTCTGTCTCTGCTTGTTGATCCATCACATGAAGAAGACTTTATTCAGGGTGGGTGTCTCAGTGATAACAGCCTGCTGTTAACTGCAGTGAGTCCTCCACGCCAATTATAAGGCTGTCACTTTACCGGCCAAAGGCTGCTCTCCCTCCTTACTGTTAACTCGTGCTGCAGTTGCCAAAAGAAACAGAAGGGGTGTGTATCCATCAAAGCTGGTCTCAATAACAGTGCTACAGGTCTTGGCTATGCCTGGATACAGCCACACAAAACAAGCCATTGTTGCTGTGTGATTAGGCCGTGCCACACACACGCACAAATGTATAATTAGGTAATGTTTGCTACAATGGACAGTACCTGTCAGTGACAGCTCTCTGTGTGGAGGATGAATGGAGGTGTCTGTCTGACATGGAGGGAGAGAAAAGAAGAAAGAGGGAAGGTGGGAATGCCTAATTGCAGGCTGTGTAGTGATACAGGAGGCGAGGAATGTGTCATGACGAGCACATCTCTGATCTTTTGAGCGGCGGGAAGCAAGAGGTCATACAAGGATATGGTTCGGCTCAGCTTGTGGGCGACCTGGCTGAGTCAAGTCATCTCCAGCAGGCTTCAAATTAGGGGGATGGAGATCAGAAACTCTGCAAATTGTTGTCGCCTCTTGGTGAGAAAAAAATGCTTACTGGGAAGATGAGAAAATTGGTATTTCCTGTTCTTGTTCCTTGAGCAACATGACAAGTCTTTATTCCGTACCGAGTCACGGAGCAGCCCGAGACTCTTGACATCCGTTCCTGTGACAAAGTTCAAAGCCGACGAGGCCACCTCAAAGTTTTAATCACACAAACAGAAGAACATAAGGAATGCATAATATCACATATTAAAACCACATCGGTATAGTGTGAAGAGTTCATGATATTTTACTCTTTTATTTAGCTAATTTGTCCATATCGTCAACACGCATTATTTAAATGGCTGGATCGGTTCTATCTGGGCAAGTGAGCCCAGCAAAGAAAAAAGAAAAATAAATTGGGGAAAGTCCCGTTACTAACTGATGTGGGTACAGACCGAAAAAACATTTCAGCCTGTACTATTTCCCAGTTTATTGAACGAAATAAACATTGTGAATAAATTAGATTAAACAATTATGGGTGTGATTGGTTTGTTGATTGATATATGGCTACAAAGTGGAAGTATAATAACACTGTTTTACAGATATAGAGGTTTCAGAGGCTGTGAGCTAAACATCCCAAATCAAGCTCCACTTACTAGCTTTTCTTCGTCTTCATGAACAGATTGAGTTTGCCCAGTTTTTACGGAGATGAATCAATTTTTAGGATTTCTTGTCCACATTGGCGTAAAAGTTTATTCTTGACCATGGGAGTGTTTATGACTAAACAATCCCAACTAAAGGCCCACTTACTCGTTTTTCCCCGAGCTTTCAGCCAAATCACACAAGAAAAACAACGATTGATTGTACTGATCAATAGCATCAAGTCTGATAATACAGTTCGAGGCACTGATGATACACTGGCACACTCAAACATAACAGCATTACTATGGACGGGGTGGTTGAGTGACACAGACCAAGCTTACTTCGAGTGCGTCAGTTGATGTGAGTAGCCGGGATGATACTGAAACATGACCACGGAAACTCTAATGGAAGATTGCAACAGCTTCACAGAAGTGAAGCCACAGGAACGCAAGTGAGGCACAACAGCAGTCGGATGCGTTTATTAATCTGCTCTGACGGGCAGATTACCGTGCACAGTGTACGAGCACAGACACACACTCAGTACGGAGATGCGATGTATAGCTGTTATTGTGCAGAAAAAGGATCAGTCAGCGACATGGAGAGACAGACAGGAGCCCAACAGCATATACCACCCTCAGACTGTTTCACAGTGGTGTGGTCTCACACACACACACACACACACCCACACACACACACACACACACACACAGACAGACAGACACACACTCTCTCTGACATCAGATAGGCTGGGTCCTGGCTTGGTTGGAGCATCCCCCCGCCGTGTAGATGTGTGAGTCACTGACATCACTTCCCTCCCAACAGCAACAAACGGTCGGGTTGTTGGGAGAGTCCATTGGACTGGATGAGGGGAGAGGAAGGGGGGGGTGGGGGGTGTTTGAGTCAAGCCCATGGAATCCATGATATACTGTACTGGGCTTTGTGTTGGAAAGGGGAAAACCAGCTACATCATCTCTGCTAGGCTTTTGTTTACTGCAGCCTGAGGAACATATCCTTTGTTTTGTTTTTGTTCTTGTCTTCGTGGTGCATCTGCTCTTTGTTTCGTCACCATGAAGTTAAAGGTGTGAGAGGTTAATGAGCCGAGGGACTGAATAGCGGAGGTGGGTCTGAGGTCATGCTGGATGACCTACTGTACTGTAGCATGCAGAGCAATGAGGCACTTCCAAAGGTTTTGACTTAAAAGCTCATTCGGAAATTAATTTTCTCCTGGAACTGGCGGTGATAAATTGTTTTTAGGCGGAGGTTGTCGTGCCGCAGTCCAAAAACCTCCAGATCCAACGGTAATTCTGAAAAAGTTTATGGAGTGGAAAATCGAATCTTTCAAAGTTTTTTCTTTTTTTTAATACTTAGTATCCAACTTCAAAACTGCATTAATGAAAGAAGGGAGTGTTTAAGTCATTTTACGTTTCGCAATTCCACCACCTGCATCTTGAAAGGGATTGTGACTTTGTTTATTCTAAACTTCTTCTGAGCTTTCCCAACCTGTTTTATCTGACATCTGATGAGCTCATCTTATATATAATATATATATGAAATATAAATTATGAACATTCACTGTTATTAATAGGCTATCATACATTTACTGTGATTCCATTATATATTTGATGAAAACATATGATCAGTAGGATTTTTCACCATTTCAGAGAAGTTTTCAAAGTATATATATATATCAACACTTGAAATGATGAAGTCATTTGCAAAGGACAAGTTAGTACAAAATGCAAACCTCCTGTGATGTTTAAGTTGATGTCATGGTAACAGAAGTTGTGATGCACTTCCTTAATCCTGTTTGCTTTATGAGTGAGGGCACGACTAATGAAAGATCCCACAGAGTCACCACCGGGGAGCTGGAAACACTTTCAAAACGTGAGGTGACCCGTGACATTTCCCTGCTATTGTCTGCTTGTTTCCAGTAGTGACCACATAGTGATGCTGTAACTATGTGTGTGTGTGTGTGTGTGTGTGTGTGTGTGTGTGTGAAAACCAGGCAGCAGGCATGGATAATAACTCAGACGTTTAACCTCCCAGGGAAACTCAGACCTTGGCACAATGGAAACTGTCAGCGTGGGAGCAAAGGCTCGGAGACAGCGCCGAAGGAGCGAGGGAGAATAGATACAGATAAGAGCTTAATGTCAGGGGGAACGGCTGAATCACATTTAAATTATGAGTGTTTATCTGAAAAGGATTGGAAGGGAGCAGAAAGAGAGGGCCGTGGGCGGAGGGGAAATATCCCGGTCAAGAGGGGCTGCTGGCGATTCCCAAACTGACGACTCTGTTTTGACTCTTTGGTGATTAAAAACAGCAGATGGAGCTCCGTAGCATGGTAAATAATATTAGCTGTTATCTGATGAATATAGGTAGTGAGCCTGTCTGACTCACAAAAACAACAAGCTGCCGCACACTGCGCACCATTGCTCCCACCCTGGAGGGATAGACAACAGCAGAGGGGAAGCTTTCACTGTTTCATTCAAGAAGCATTGCTTCATCCATTGTTGTGTCTCTGCTCAACGCTTGTCAGCTTCCACCCACTGCTCTATTGACTCAGGTGCGTGCCTAAGTTTGGGTTTAACAGACACATGTATGAGGAAACATCTTGACAATTCATGTTTCTCGATGACCTCAGGGCACTTCCTCCGAGCTCACGCCCACCTTGGACGACGACAGCGCGGCCTGTGTCTTCAGGCCCGGGGCCGGGCCGCTTTGATGTGACCACAGAGAGGAAGCAGAGGTCAAGTCTGGGAGATCCTGACATGGTTAACTGAATGAGAGATATCTGCTGCTGTCATGGTCGGTCCTGCCCTGGGGTTTTTCCTTTTCCTCCTCCTCCTCCATCCTCGTCCTCCTCCTCGTCTTCCCACACCGGTTCGATGGCAGTCAAACTGGCAATGGATTTCCTGTTGTAGGAATGAATGCTTCACAAGAACGATGCGGTTTTAGAAATGAACTA